AAAAAAAAAAAAAAAAAGAAAGGTGAATGGAGAAGAGGGGAAGAAAGTGAGTTTCCTTTCTTAACACATTTTTTATGCTTTTATTAATGTGGCAGGCATTAGGTTAAATACTGGAAATAAATTATCTACTTCATCTTCCCAACAAAGCTATGCCATACTTCCCATTGTTAGCTCCTTATATTAATATATTAAATTCAGAAACTAAAATATTAAGATAAATGACTTTTTTTTTTTTTTTTTTGAGACAGAGTCTCAAGCTGTGTCCCTGGGTAGAATGCCGTGGTGTCACAGCTCACAGCAACCTCCAACTCTTGGGCTTAAGCAATTCTCTTGCCTCAGCCTCCCAAAAAGGTGGGACTACAGGTGCCCATAGAATACCCAGCTGTTTTTTTGTTGCAGTAATCATTGTTATTTAGCTGGCCAGGGCCAGGTTCAGCCTGGGTGTATGTGGCCAGTGCCCTATCAACTGAGCTATGGTCACCTCCAGAGCCTCAACTCTTATCTGTTTAATACCATCGTCTGTGTTCCTAACCACCAGCTTGAACTTCCCCAACAGTGAAAATTTGAATGTATTAATTAAACCTTTTCTTTTTTTCTTTCTTTTAAAGAAAACTTTTGTCTCCTCTCCCTGCTCCATTATTCCCCTGCTCCCCCACCTTGAATTGATTTGAGTTTTTCTTTTATGTGGGTGTGTATTAGATGGTCTGCTGGCTTCCTATTAGTATTGAGTACACTGCATACTTGCTTTTCTATTCTTGTGATATGTTACTAAGAAGAATGTGTTTCATCTTCATCCAGGTTAATACAAAAGATATAAAGTCTCCATCTTTTTTATGGCTAAGTATGGTATACATACTGTTGTTATACATCTTTTTTATGGCTGAGCATGGAATACATATAGCACAGCTTGTTAATCCATTCCTGAGTTGGTGGGCATTTAGTTAGGCTGTTTCCACATTTTGGTGATTGTAAATTGAGCTGTGATAAACCATCTAGTGCAAATGTCCTTATCATAAAATGATTTATTTTCTTCAGGGTAGATGCCTCTAATGGGATTGCAGGATCAAATGGGAGGTCTCAGCTGGGCGAGGTGGCTCACGCCTGTAATCCTAGAACTCTGGAAGGCTAAGGCAGGTGGATTTCCTGAGCTCACAGGTTTGAGACCAGCCTGAGCAAGAGTGAGACCCTGTCTCTAAAAAAAAAAATAGCTGAGTGTTGTGGCAGGCACCTGTAGTTCCAGCTACTTGGGAGGCTAAGGCAAGAGAATTGCTTGAGCCCAAGAGTTTGAAGTTGTTGTGAGCTATGACGCCACGGCAGTTTACCAAGAATGCCAAAATGAGACTCTGTCGAAAAAAAAAAAAAAGAAAGATCTAATTTGAGTTGTTTGAGGATTCTCCATACTTTCTTCCTAAAAGGAAGAGAGTTAGTTAGTTTGTAGTCCCATCAACAGTGTAAAAGTGTTACCTTCTCTTCACATCCACACCAGCATCTGCAGCTTTGACACCTTGCAATGTGAGCTAAGGTGGTTTTAATTTGCATTTCTCTGGTGATGGGGGACGATGAGCATTTTTTTCATATGTTTGTTAGCCATTCGTTTGTCTTCCTCAGAGAAGGTTTCGTTCATATCTCTCGCCAAGTGGTAGATAGGATTGTTTGGTCTTATTTTGTTGATTTGAGACAGAGTCTCACTATGTCACTCCCAGTAGAGTGCAGTGGCATCACAGCTCACAGCAACCTCAAACTCTTGGGCTTAAGCAATTCTCTTACCTCAGTCTCCCAAGTAGCTAGGACTACAGGTGCCTGGCTAAACAAAAAAAAAGGAAACTTTTAAAATAGTTACTGGACAATATTTATTAAACTTCTATTCTCTAGACTATTAGACCTCATCTTAACTTTTCCAGAGAACTTTTCCAAATGTTTTTTCAAGTAGGAAATAACTAAAAAAAATAAAATAAGAGTCTGTTAATTGTAGTGTAGTTGAAAGGTAATTCAGGAGAGCTAAACATTCTATGGTATTTCCAAATCATATATCCAAGAGTTTATCCTGGAGTTTTTCATGTTTAGTCTCTATAAGACTCTTTTAGGATCCACTTGTTGATTGTCCAACCCCCAACACAGTCCTCCCATTTTTTTAAACAACTTTGTTTTCCTGATTCTATCCTTTCTGTGTGTGTCCTTGTATGTTTACTACCTATATCATCAGTAAAGGCAGTAGATTTTATTTTGCATTTTTCTTTTTAGGACAAGGCCTGGAGAATGTCTGTTGCGAAGACATCAGTAGACATTCTTAAAATACTACGCGACATTCAGAAAGGTAGTCTCTACCTCTGTTCCCTCATCTTAGTTTGGTTCCATAGCTCATCCTTTTCAGAAAGGGGCAGCTTATATCATACATAGTTTTTCTGGTTCTGGTTATATCACTCTTACCCATTTTTCTTCATGAAAAATCTTTCTTCCCTGTATTAGCAGTGCAAGAATAGAAGCATGTAGAACCATGCTTTCATTTGTTTATATGCTTCAGTAAATTATTTAATGCTAGACTAGATTTCTTTGATGCCTTGAACTTATTGCTCATTTCTTTCAATTATTGGTGGTTATGATCAAGGAAAAGAAAAATCCATTTAAACTTGAACTTAAAATAATTAAGAAAGTAACTCCTGGCCAGGCACAGTGCCTCACGCCTGTAATCCTAGCTTTCTGGGAGGTCGAGGCGGGTATTGCTTGAGGTCACGAATTTGAGACCAGCCTGAGTAAGAGTGAGACCCTGTCTCTACTAAAAATAGAAAAACTGAGGCAAGAGGATTACTTGAGCCCAAGAGTTGGAGGTTGCTATGAGCTGTGATGCCATAGCACTCTATCCAGGGCAACAGCTTGAGACTCTGTATCAAAAAAAAAAAAAAAGGGTAACTCCTGGGGGAGGGAAAAGCTATATAGTATATTTCAGAAAAATGGATTTCTCTTGGGTAACCTACCTTTTCTACCTCTGGAAAGGATAACTAGATTTATTTTTATATGTTAATTATTTTTTATCAGCATCTGTAAAGAACAACTGAAGACTTGAGATAAGAGAACCAAACAAAGCTAATTAAAATGTTACCTTTGGGCAGGTGGCTCACACCCATAATCCCAGCACTCTGGGAAGCCAGGCAGGCGGAGGATTGCCTGAGCTCACAAGTTTGGGACTGGGGGTTGTGGTGGGTGCCTGTAGTCCCAGGAGAGGCTGAGGCAGGAGAATTGCTTGAGCCCAAGAGTCTGAGGTTGCTGTGAGCTATGATGCCATCGCACTCAATTGGGTGACAAAATGAGACTTTGTCTAAAAAAATTAATAAATTAATTAATAATAAATAAAATGTTACCTTTTAAAAATTCTGCTAATGTGGGAATTTGTATGTCTGCCATCACTTTTAAAATTTTATTTTTAATTTTTTAATTACATCATAACTATGAACTTTTAAAAATTTAATTGCAGGCAATCTTCAGAAGAAGGATGAATGTGAAGAAATCTTAAAATTATTTAAAGTGGTTGCCAGCTTACAGGTAAAGATGTTAAGCTGTATCAAAATATTATTAGTTGACTTCAGTGTATTTATTTCTCATCATTTTCTGCAGTGACCTTCAGTGATTTGAGATATTGGTTATCCTTTGTGTTCTTTCTCTTCTCTTTGTCTTTCAACATCTTTATCGAGACATAACCAATATACCGTATAATTCATTCACGTAGCAGGGGTCCTCAAACTTTTTAAACAGGGGGCTAGTTCACTGTCCCTCAGACTGTTGGAGGGCCAGACTGCGGGCTCCGGGATGAGTTGGCTGCTAGGCAGAACAGGCAGCAGCCGCAAAAACACTCGGCAGGCCGCATGTGGCCCACGGGCGGTAGTTTGAGGACCCCTGAATAAAGTATGTAAGTAAATGATTTTTGACATATTGCATTATTAATTCTTTAAAATGGTAAAATACATATAACAAAAATGTTCAATTTTAACATTTTTCCACATGCAATTCAGTGGCATTAATTACATTCACAGTGGTGTCTGTTTTTCATCACTCTAAGCAGAAACTTTGTAGCCATTAAACAATAACTTCCCCGTTCCTCTCTTCCCACAGTACCTGGTAACCTTTATTCAACTTTCTGTCTCTATAAACTTGCCTATTCTAGCTATTTTATGTAAGTAGAATAAAATAAGTAAGAGTGTATAGGAGTTCTTTGACCCAAAATTTTGAGACCTGCTATATTGACAATAGGATTATTTGTGAAAAGCACCTGGGGAATGAGCATAAGTTAACTTCTTTTTTTTTTATTTATTTATTTTTGAGACAGCCTCAAGCTGTTGCCCTGGGTAGAGAGCTGTAGCATCACAGCTCATAGCAACCTCCAACTTCTGGGCTTACATAAGTTAACTTCTCTGTGCTTTTCTTACATTTGAAAGTTAGAGGTATTGGGTAGCGTCTGTGGCTCAGCAGGTAGGGCACTGGCCCCATTTCCCAAGGGTGGTGGGTTCAAACCTGGCCCTGGCCAAACTGCAGTAAAAAAATAGCCAGGCGTTGTGGCGGACGCCTGTAGTCCCAGCTACTCGGGAGCCTGAGGCAAGAAAATCGCCTAAGCCCAGGAGTTGGAGGTTGCTGTGAGCTGTGTGACTCCATGGCACTCTACCGTGGGCGATAAAGTAACACTCTATCTTTACCAAAAAAGAAAAAAAAGGAAGTTAGAGGTATTATAAGGCAGTGATTTTTGATCTGGGCAAAATCGTGCATATTTATCATGTTACTATTTTTGAATATTTCTTATGCCAGGTTTGGTATGTTTCTGTGCAGATAAGGTCGCACTCTGTAGCCCAGGCTGGAGTGTAGTGGTGCACTAATAGCTCACTGTTGCTTTGAGCTCCTGGGCTCAAACAACCCTCCTGCCCTATCCTCCTGAGTAGCCAAAACTATAGGTGCACACCAACATCCCTGGCTTAGGAAGACTTATTTTTCACTCTATACTTTTAAAAACCATTTTCTTTCTTTTTCTTTTTTTTATCAAAAAATTATTTATTCTTCACAATATGCACTACAGAATTAATTTTAATACACTTATTAAAAGATCACTTGAGCCTATGAGTTTGAGACCAGCTTGGGCAACAATAGTGAAACCCCATCCCCCAAAAATAAATAAATGGTTGGGCATGGTGGCTCATGCTGCAAGTAGATTGCTTGAGCTCATGAGTTCGAGACCAGCCCGAGCAAGAGCGAGACACTGTCTCTCCTAAAAAATAGAAAAACTGAGGGAAGAAGATTGCTTTAGCCCAGGAATTGGAGGTTGCTGTGAGCTATGATGATGCCATGGCACTCTACCCAGGGCAACAGCTTGAGACTCTGTCTCAAAAAATAAAATAAAATATTGCTGGGCATGATGGCTCATGCCTGTAATCCTAGCATTACAGGCCTGTAATCCAGCCTCTGGGAGGCTGAAGCAGGTGGGTAGCTTAAGCTCACAAGTTAAAGACCAGCCTGAGCAAAAACCTATCTCTATTAATAGAGAAGGTTATTAATAGAAGAACTGAGGCAAGAGGATCGCTTGAGCCTAAAAGTTGGAGGTTGTTATGAGCTATGACACCATGGCACTCTGCCCAAGGCTTGAGACTCTGTCTCAAAAAGAAAAAAAAACAGAAAATAAAATAATGGCTCAGCGTCTGTGGCTCAAGCTGCTAAAGTGCCAGCCTCATACACCTAAGGTGGCAGGTTCAAATCCAGCCCGGGCTCGCCAAACAACAATGACGGCTGCAACCAAAAAATAGCCAGGCATTATGGCGGGCGCCTGTGGTCCCAGCTACTTGGGAGGCTGAGGCAGGAGATTCGCTT